GTAGACGAAGGCGGACACATCTGTAACCACTGGGTATGTCTATTTGCACATAAATGGTGTTTTAGTTTCTGCTTGAACAAATCTCTGATTAGAACTTTCATGTATTTGCTATACAAATACTTGTAAGTGATTAGATGGTTCCATTATGGTTATTACATGTTAATGAGGTTCAAAGTTTTTGGTGCTATTCTTTCACTATGCCAGTTCTAGATTTAGACAAATTCTTTGTTGAAAAGAAGGATAATTAGGACTCAAGAGACGCTGGTTTCCTTTTTCNATCCTTATTGTTTCCGTTAAGGATTTGTGTTGTTTGCACATCAGCAATCCATGACCTATTGCTTTTCTTTCATCTCTTCATCAAATTTTCATGCTCATATTCAATNAATGTCATGCTGATGGCTTTTCCTTCACAACACAAAGTATATAATCAGTGTTATCTTCTGAATTTGCAGACATGAGCTATTGCTTTTCGAGGCTCTTCAGGAAGGTTTGGAAGAAGAGATGGACAGAGATCCACATGTATGTGTTATGGGTGAAGANGTAGGTCATTACGGAGGCTCCTACAAAGTAACCAAAGGCCTTGCTGATAAATTTGGAGACCTCAGGGTTCTCGACACTCCTATTTGTGAAAATGCATTCACCGGTATGGGAATTGGAGCTGCCATGACTGGTCTAAGACCTGTCATTGAAGGTATGAACATGGGTTTCCTCCTCCTTGCCTTCAACCAAATCTCCAACAATTGTGGAATGCTTCACTACACATCCGGTGGTCAGTTCACGATCCCTGTTGTCATCCGTGGGCCCGGTGGAGTGGGACGCCAGCTCGGCGCTGAGCACTCACAGCGGTTGGAATCTTACTTTCAGTCCATCCCTGGGATCCAGATGGTTGCTTGCTCGACTCCTTACAACGCCAAAGGTTTGATGAAAGCCGCGATAAGAAGCGAGAATCCCGTGATTCTGTTCGAACATGTCCTACTCTACAATCTCAAAGAGACAATCCCGGACGAAGAATACATCTGTAATCTTGAAGAAGCTGAGATGGTTAGACCCGGCGAGCACATTACCATCCTCACTTACTCGCGGATGAGGTACCATGTGATGCAGGCAGCAAAAACTCTGGTGAACAAAGGGTATGACCCTGAGGTTATCGATATCAGGTCACTAAAACCGTTTGATCTTTACACGATCGGAAACTCGGTTAAGAAAACACATCGGGTTTTGATCGTGGAGGAGTGTATGAGAACCGGAGGGATTGGAGCTAGTCTTACAGCTGCCATTAACGAGAACTTTCATGACTATTTAGATGCTCCGGTGATGTGTTTGTCTTCTCAAGATGTTCCTACACCTTACGCCGGTACACTGGAGGAATGGACCGTGGTTCAACCAGCTCAGATCGTGACCGCCGTCGAGCAACTTTGCCAGTAAAATCCATATTTATCCAGTGAACCATAATTACTACCATTATATCTCTCCATTTCCTTTCTATTTAGCTTAGTTCTTTAAGCATTTGTCTAAGTAGTCTGGTTTTTTGTTAAAGTTGTTGTGTCTTTGGAATATGGTTTTGAAACTTAGAAATGTTTGGTTTGTTAATTTTCTCCCACATTATAATTTTCTTTACTTTTTAGTTATAAACATTTACACAACTCAACCAAACAAAGATTTTTATTATTACAATGCCTCCACAAACAAAGCTTCTAGTACAATAACTAATCTTGTTTGTTGTACTAATTCCAATAAATTTCGAACCTCTAG